GTGCCATAGACTAAATGCTTGTTGAATGAATACATGAAAGTCAATAGTGAGTGCCGGGACATATAAGGCATACTCTGCATAATGAATATTTCTCCTCAAATCTCAAATTTATAATCACAAATCCTAATAAGCCTTTAAACATAAATCTGAAGGGGAGGATTTACCTTAATTTTTTGTTATAAAAGATACATGTCTTTTCTACTTGATTTAGACACTAAACAAACTTTGAATTTAAATTCAGAAAAAGAAAGGAACTATCTTGAGTATATAGCTCCTGTGAGCCTCTACGGATTTTCGTTTCTTGTAAAAACTTCAGAACCCTTTGTTCAAAAGTTGAAAGTCTGCATTATATTCACAAAGAAGGAAACCAGTATACATTATACAGTATTTCTATGCACATTATTCATACATTCCACCATTGGATCAAAAGGGGCTTTTGGAGTCTCCTTGTGAATAACATTTTCCAACAAAAAGCCCTTTAGAAAAATGTCTTGCAAAGACAGAAAAATGTCTCACATAATTTTGAGTATTTCCACTCCAATTCTTGTCTCCCGTTGTTCAATGTATGATGAAAATCTAGAAGTTTGTAGAAACTAAATGTTGCCATTTTATGTGTTTGGAGGAAAATCAATGATGAGAACTTAGTAAAGAGTGTTTTGCTATTTCCAGCTATGACCACGAAACCAGGAGCTTTGTAAGATCAACTTAGAAACCGATGCATGATACTGAATTGATGTGGTGGTTGTGGCATTATTTTTACCCTTGCTTGCCTGCCTTTTGTTACTGTGCAGAAACAATGCAGGCGTCTCTGGTGCACCAGTGCTGAAGGAGTTCACAAGGGCTGTCGCACTCAACACATGCCACTGGCAGACGGAACAAACTGTGGTCCTGGGATGGTAGGTTTTCTCGAAGGGTGAGTCTTGTATCAAGAGATTATCCAAGGATGTGGTTGCTCTGCATTTCAGCATTCTTCGTTAGTCACTGTCCACTGTTGTTCTAGTTCAACTAATATTGTCATCATGTGTGTTTGATGTGGTATGTTGTCAAGTAAATTAAAATTTTAATTTCATTATTTTTTCAAGATCTAGCAAATGAATATCAAACTCATATAGTCATATAAATAATTGCATAGATATAGAGTTATCTAAGTATACTATAGCCTTGTAATTAAAAATGAGTATAGACATACAGGTCCTAATAGTTTAGCAAGTCCCCAAACTCAAGGATGTTACCATTGCACACATTTTCTCCCATAAAATTCAGTTAAGTATAACTGAAAGTTTTCAGTGGCTTCTTCAGGTCTCTAT